GAGAGAGAGAGAGAGAGAGAGAGAGAGAGAGAGAGAGAGAGAGAGAGAGAGAGAGAGAGAGAGAGAGAGAGAGAGAGAGAGAGAGAGAGAGAGAGAGAGAGAGAGAGAGAGAGAGAGAGAGAGAGAGAGAGAGAGAGAGAGAGAGATAGAGAGAGAGAGAGAGAGAGAGAGAGAGAGAGAGAGAAGATACGGGCATCAACACACTCAATCCATGTTGGTCAGTTGACAGCGGATGATACCAGGAGACGCGGTGATAGCGAGAGAGTTTGACAGAGAAAGAATGGCTGCCCGCATGTTTTTGCTGAGCGGAGGTACGCCCCCCCCCCCCCCCCCCCCCCACGTCCATAGGAATCAGAACATGGCGAATATGACCGTCCCACAGCACATCTGAGGACCCTGCCGTAGCTGTCTATATGTGGAAACTGTCACCAGGACGAGATGCAAAGCTTGATGTCGCGTTGCAGTTGAGAGGACTGGCGTTGACCAGTACGCAGACACTTCCGGCACTATTGAGAAGAAACAATGTCTGCTTTCTTCGCCACCGCCTTGATGGGTCATGACCTCACTGCTTACTACCTGGGATGTGTCAGAGCAACGAAAAGTGGGTAAATGACATGAAGCACACGCTTGCAAATCTATATGACTTCCCAAATCTCCAGCGTCATACAACGCGTCCTTTCCTTTAACCGTACGTGGTACATGTTTGTACATAAAATGAATCCTTTGAATCATAAAAGAGCATTCAACACTTGCAACCATGCCCAACGTAACGCAAACATATGCTTAATGTTCACAGACGCCTGTAGCTGTCCAACCTGGTGTTTTATTTTTATAGTCACTTTCTTCTTTACGTTAAGGATATGACACTTTTCAGTCGTTGAGTGCACGCATAAGTACAGCCTTAGGTATTTGTGTGCAATTTTTCCGGATTTTCCTCGACTGCCTTGCCAAGAAGATGGCAGCAGCCGTGGAGTGATTGCCCTGCTACAGGATAAGTGTGCAAACCAGCGCACGCGGAGATGGGTTGACGGATATTACGCCTCCAAATAGACCCTTCGGTCCGTTGGCATTTCCCGGGGGCCCGGCCCCGCTTTATGCCACCGGAGCAGCCCCTGATCCATCGAGCCCGAGGAATCTGGGGAACCCCCTGCGAGCGCACTAGTGCCGCCTGGGCGTGGCGCTGTCTGATTGTCCGTAATGTTTTCGATTTTTAAAGGAAGTGTCCCACATTTATCTAGACTTTTGAGATCAAGCACCTATCTTAAAAACTATTCGGTGTGTTAAGACCCACGCCCCTCTAGTTTCTGAGACAGAAACCCGCGAAAATTGGGAAAAGAATATCGGGGAGAGTATTTCAAATCCACCTTGCCGTTGACGACGTCATAAAAACGTCATTCAAATCCTGTCATTCCATAAGCTATGCAGCGACCAGGGCTGGAAAAGATCATTGTCGAGGCGTTCATATCTGGCGTTCATGGGCGCGATTTTCAGATACAACGTCCGCCAATTGGCTCTTCATCAATGTTGTGTAATGTACGATGGCGTAATGGAACCATGACGCATCGAAAAGCATATTTACTAAACAAAGAATTGCGCTTTCTAGAGCAGTATTTTCCACTAAAAAGGCATATCGATAGTTATCAGTGAGTTGGTTTCATCATACCTGATGCTTGGCCTAATATATATATATATATATATATATATATATATATATATATATATATATATATACATTTAAATGCGGAACATTACCTTAAATGAAGCATTTTGGCGGGCATAACAACATTCTCATTAACTATGGAGTAGCATGTCTATCATGTCCGAGCTTGTCTCAGCCAAGCGTCAGTTACTTAGGGGAAAGTCCTAAATTAGCGACGTGTGTCCGATACATAATTCGTGCATCGTGCATTTCTCTTTTCCAGGAAAATGGTTCAACTACGGAATCATCTTCATGGTGATGATACTCGATTTGAACATGTGGAAGAACCAGTTTGTTTATGTGCCAAAGAATTATGGACAGTATACAGGTAAGAGATTTGATCGGCTTCGTTGCTTTCGATAATGAATATTTTGGAGTTCAGAAAAGGTCGTGGCATGAGCGAGCTTAACTATGCCTTCAGTTCAAGGGACAGGTTTGAGACACAGAAGTGTAGCTGAAGTAGCTTTTTCGAAAACCTTTACACCCTGTTTGTTTTACGACTCAGACATTCTGGACATGTTTGAGGTTGCGTGTACATAAGCAAGTTGATGTACGGTCACGTGGTGGGAGTAAATGGACGGTGAGCAGGGCACGTAGTACTGCCACGTGGTGGGAGTAAATGGACGGTGAGCAGGGCACGTAGTACTGCCACGTGGTGGGAGTAAATGGACGGTGAGCAGGGCACGTAGTACTGCCACATGGTGGGAGTAAATGGACGGTGAGCAGGGCACGTAGTGCTGCCACGTGGTGGGAGCAAATGGACGGTGAGCAGGGCACGTAGTACTGCCACGTGGTGGGAGTAAATGGACGGTGAGCAGGGCACGTAGTGCTGCCACGTGGTGGAAGTAAATGGACGGTGAGCAGGGCACGTAGTACTGCCACGTGGTGGGAGTAAATGGACGGTGAGCAGGGCACGTAGTACTGCCACATGGTGGGAGTAAATGGACGGTGTGGGGCACGGGCACGTAGCAGGGCACGTAGTGCTGCCACGTGGTGGGAGCAAATGGACGGTGAGCAGGGCACGTAGTACTGCCACATGGTGGGAGTAAATGGACGGTGAGCAGGGCACGTAGTACTGCCACATGGTGGGAGTAAATGGACGGTGAGCAGGGCACGTAGTACTGCCACGTGGTGGGAGCAAATGGACGGTGAGCAGGGCACGTAGTACTGCTACGTGGTGGGAGTAAATGGACGGTGAGCAGGTCACGTAGTACTGCCACGTGGTGGGAGTAAATGGACGGTGAGCAGGTCACGTAGTACTGCCACGTGGTGGGAGTAAATGGACGGTGAGGAGGTCACGTAGTACTGCTACGTGGTGGGAGTAAATGGACGGTGAGCAGGGCACGTAATGGAATGGACGGCCCTTCTCACAGACCAGTATCGCAAGATACACACGGTGATGGACCAATCCGTCCTGCTCACTGGCAACCTGACGCTGTGGACCTACAAGGCGCGCAACACGACCGACTCCAGCACGGACCAGCTCTACAGACTGGGTGGGTAGCCCGTCCACGTACGGGGTAGCCTGGGGGGGGGGGGGGGGTAATCGGCCCATTTACCTGCAGTTTGTTCGATACAGCTCGGTGTGCATGGATCAGCCGTAAAAAACGGGGTAGAGTCGATTGCCTCTCATTCATTTGCATCTGGTATGGCGTTAGCGTAGGAAAAGCAAGCTTGTGGCGTGTACGATTAATGCACGCACAGTACTGAAGCGTACGTCATCAATATCATCATTTTTCGTGTCTCCTCCATGGGTGGTTTTTCAGGACTCGTATTCATTCGGAGATCCATGTCAGAATGTCACAAACGCACACGCAACACACACACACACACACACACACACACACACACACACACACACACACGCACACACACACACACACACACACACACACACACACACACACACACACACACACACACACACACACACACACACACACACACACACACACACACACACACACACACACACACACACACACACACACACACACACACACACACACACACACACACACACACACACACACACACACACACACACACACACACACACACACACATATCCATCCCAATCGTGGCTGCCAGTTAGACATCTCCAGCCTCTCCCTTGGCCAGCTCCTGCGCGCGCCACTGCGGTGCAAGCCCACTGGACACTACCGGGCGCACGATTTCAATTAGCAGCGGGGCGGAAATGGGCCAATTTGTCACGCACGTACACAGCACGCGCGATGGAACCGCAACAGGCCGCCGAGCGTTGTTCTGTTTTGTCCATGGTATCATCTGCTTGCTCTTCGCGCACTGCTCTCATTTAGGCTGCTCGGTGCCCGGGCACACTGCTGCACGAACCATACCAGCACCAATGTCCGCGGCGTCCGTCACCGACTCTTTAGAAAACCGCTGGCGTGATCGGTTCAGAAATCAGTGACGCCATATCTCCTAACTAGCGCTCTCTATACCCTGCCGCAGAGGACATGGTGATGAACTCCAAGTACATGGGCTACTCGACCAGCGTGCGGTGCACCACGTTTATTCCTTGCGTGCTGGGTTTCGTCCTGTTCATCAGCCTGGTCATCGTGTACGGCCGGTTTCCTCCCAACAAGGTGAGCCACCAGAAACGCCGCGTAAACAGAGCCTTTTCTCGAGCCTGACGTGCGTGCACCGTCTGAGAGCTGCCCTCCCGCAAGTCTGACGCGTGCACACCATCTGAGAGCCGCTCTCTCCCGAGACGGACGCGCGCGCACCATCTGAGAGCCGCTCTCTCCTGAGTCTGACGCGCGCACACCGTCTGAGAGCTGCTCTCTCCCGAGTCTGACGCGCTGACACCGTCTGAGAGCCGCTCTCTCCCGAGTCTGACGCGCGCACACCATCTGAGGGCCGCTCTCTCCTGAGTTTGACGCGCGCACACCGTCTGAGAGCCGCTCTCTCCCGAAACGGACGCGCGCAAACAGTTTGAGAGCCTCTCCCCCAGAGTCTGACGCGCGCACACCATCTGAGAGCCGCTCTCTCCTGAGTTTGACGCGCGCACACCGTCTAAGAGCCGCTCTCTCCCGAGTCTGACGCGCTGACACCGTCTGAGAGCCGCCCTCTCCCGAGTCTGACGCGCGCACACCATCTGAGAGCCGCTCTCTCCTGAGTTTGACGCGCGCACACCATCTGAGAGCCGCTCTCTCCTGAGTTTGACGCGCGCACACCATCTGAGAGCCGCTCTCTCCCGAAACGGACGCGCGCAAACAGTTTGAGAGCCTCTCCCCCAGAGTCTGACGCGCGCACATAGTCTGAGAGCTGCCCTCTCCAGAGTCTGGCGTGCACACAGTCTGAGAGCCGTACTCTCCCGAGTCTGACGCGCGAACACAGCCTGAGAGCTGCCACCCCCCCGAGTCTGACGCGCGAAAACCGTCTGAGAGTAGCTCTTCCCGGGTCTGACCCGCTGACCGCACAGCAGTCGTCGCCTTCCACAAGGCTCTGCGGCAATTCTAGCAGCAATGCGTCAGATTTTCGCGCATCTAACGCTTTTTGTCAATTAATCTGCCGCTCGTGGGTTTGATAATTTTCAGGGCGATGTTTTCGTTCTTGGTTCGCATCATTTACATCACTTAAGTTGATGTCAAGCGGTCTGCCTACTTCGTGCTCAGAAAATGTGTGACCGCCAAAAGGACACTGAAAGGCCATCTCTTAATGTTGACATCGGGTTGGCTCACGTGACATAGTGCACACACAGTGCCAGCATTTCCTGAGGCTGCCAAGCTTGTCGCCAAGTGTGCATTGTGCAAATGTGCCAAATGTGCACGTGTCTTGCGCATTGCGGGTTTTGGAGGGTCTGGAGTTTATACTAAACGAACTCGCTCAGCATTTGCTTTAGTCCTGGCTTGAGCCATAACAAATAAAAAGTGAATTTAGTGATAAAGAATTTGGTTACATGTTTACGTGACCGTTTTAATTTTGGCATGCTTCCCGAATGTTTCAAATGAATATTGACGTAGCAACAGTTGTCATGCAGTAAGGGGAGTTTGATGCTAAGGTCTGAACCCCATGGCTTATGTGCTCTCAGCTGTCGGGCGATTGTGCTGCTCTGATGAACCTTCAATTCCAACACATCATTCCGCATCACCAGCTCCGGGCTAGTTGCCACGAGACATCATTCCGGGGCTTCATAGAAGCGATAAATCACAGCCTTGTCGATAAATTTGGCACGGTTGGTGGCGTTGCCTGCCCCTCTATTGCAAAACAGTGTTGTTGGTCCGGGTAGTGCCAGATACTGCACTAGGACACAGTTGCCAGATACTGCACTAGGACACAGTTGCCAGATACTGCACTAGGACACAGTTGCCAGATACTGCACTAGGACACAGTTGCCAGATACTGCACTAGGACACAGTTGCCAGATACTGCACTAGGACACAGTTGCCAGATACTGCACTAGGACTCCCTTGCAGACACAGTCTGTCACACACACACACACACACACACACACACACACACACACACACACACACACACACACACACACACACACACACACACACACACACACACACACACACACACACACACACACACACACACACACACACACACACACACACACACACACACACACACACACACACACACACACACACACACACACACACACACACACACACACACACACACACACACACACACACACACACACACACACACACACACACACACACACACACACACACACACACACACACACACACACACACACACACACACACACACACACACACACACACACCACACACACACACACACACACACACACACACACACACACACACACACACACACACACACACACACACACACACACACCACACACACACACACACACACACACACACACACACACACACACACACACACACACACACACACACACACACACACACACACACACACACACACACACAGTCTGCTTAAAGATTATGATATTAAGTTTCGTTTCTGCTGCTCTATGACCGTTGGTATGCATAGATGTGCAACACGGCATGTGCATAATGCCCGAAGAAACGAATCACTAATCGTTGGTTGATAATTTCGCGGTCAAATGAGGTCGGTGATCTTTTCATGACTCGCTAACATTCGATCAGTGATGGGCTACTGTTTTCCATTGATACAATTGAGCCCTCAATTAGTGGAACATGAGCTGCCCAGTCTGATTGCTGACGAGCGTCGTGCATTTGTGGATATGGAACCTAATGGTGCTGATGTCCTCTATCATGATAGCGGCGAAGCTATGACCCCATTCCGGCTTATGATTTAGGTGCCAACCCCTTGCATGTCTGTTCGTTTTTTGTTCAACTAAGCTGAAGAAGAAAATGACTGATGATGATGATGATGATGATGATGATGATAATGGTCACCTCTCCTTCGGCCAACACTCAAATAAAAATGACTCCACGCCCGGTGTGGGTTAAAAGCTTCATTGTCGTAGGAATACATCCGCCTTTTGTGGTATCCGCTAAGCTGGACTGCCCTCACTCCAATCCAAGCTGTCACCCGCGTGATGTTAAAGGAAACTGGGACACAGCTGGGGTGGGCTAGGGGGCGTGAAACCGTCCAGTCAATGCTTGTTAGCGTATCTGTAATGTGGGAAGATGTGTCTTAAGTGAAACATTTTGGCCTACTCTGCGCAGGGCAGACCCATTAAACACACCATGTTATTTCACAGCTCTGAAAGCAAGCGGGCCAGACTGTGTTTCAATGAAGCCCTTGGGTGCCGTTTTGCTTTTAACGGGATCCGATGCGAGTAAATGCAAAACGTTGGAAAAGATATAGCCTAAGAATTTTGCTGCGTTCTCGAATTATAAACCGCACAGAAAGGTGTTTGGGCCAATGTGCGAGTACATATCCCTATTCGTCAAACTTGAGCGAAAAGCCAATAGCCCATTGCATGCATTTGGATTTATGTGCGGGCAGCGTTTGTCATGGAATGCTTATGAATGGAAGCCGTGGGGTGTGTGACCGGTGATTTAATTTTGTGTGCGCAGCTTCCCACGTATACGTAAGATTATAATGGATTTGTAAGGAACATTTGCGTGTCATGTATACGTTTGTTAACGACGTTGTGCTGTATATAAACATGCAACCAGGTACCTCAATGGTTACGGAAACATGTAACGCCACGTAGGAAATATGCAAACAGTCTGCGTGTCAGATACTTGATAATTTGCCCCGTTTGTCACCGGTACACCGGTGTGCGGCATATGCCTGCATCTTGTCATCGTCCTCGGCCATCAGCAGAATGCTTTCCAGATATGACAGTTGGTATCTGACAGCATCTCGCAGACATACGACCCATTGAGCTGTTTGCAGGAGAGCAGGACATGGATTAGATACATGGCCGATTGAGCTTTCGGCGGGACAGTGGGACACGGAGTAGATACGTGACCGTGCGCTTCTCTCGGCGGAGCAGACACATGACCGTGCGCCTCTCTCGGCAGAGCAGGCACATAACCGTGTACTTCTCTCGGTACAGCAGCCACATGACCGTGTGCTTCTCTCGGTACAGTAGCCACATGACCGAGTGCTTCTCTCGGCAAAGCAGCCACATGACAGTGCGCGCCTCTCTCGGCAGAGCAGACACATGGTCGTGCACTTCTCTCAGTGGAGCAGACACGTGACCGCGCACTTCTCTCAGTAGAGCAGACACATGACCGTGTGCTTCTCTCAGTAGAGCAGGCACATAACCGCGCGCCTCTCTCGGCAGAGCAGGCACATGACCGTGTGCTTCTCTCAGTAGAGCAGGCGCATGACCGTGTGCTTCTCTCAGTAGAGCAGACACATGACCGTGTGCTTCTCTCAGTAGAGCAGGCACATAACCGTGCGCCTCTCTCGGCAGAGCAGGCACATGACCGTGCGCTTCTCTCAGTAGAGCAGGCACATGACCGGGCACTTCTCTCAGTAGAGCAGGCACATGACCGTGCGCTTCTCTCGGTAGAGCAGGCACATGACCGTGCGCTTCTCTCGGTAGAGCAGGCACATGACCGGGCGCTTCTCTCAGTAAAGCAGGCACATGACCGTGCGCTTCTCTCGGTAGAGCAGGCACATGACCGTGCGCTTCTCTCAGTAGAGCAGGCACGTGACCATGCGCTTCTCTCGGTAGAGCAGGCACATGACCGTGCGCTTCTCTCAGTAGAGCAGGCACATGACCGGGCGCTTCTCTCAGTAAAGCAGGCACATGACCGTGCGCTTCTCTCGGTAGAGCAGGCACATGACCGTGCGCTTCTCTCAGTAGAGCAGGCACGTGACCATGCGCTTCTCTCAGTAAAGCAGGCACATGACCGTGCGCTTCTCTCGGTAGAGCAGGCACATGACCGTGCGCTTCTCTCAGTAGAGCAGGCACATGACCAGGCGCTTCTCTCAGTAGAGCAGGCACATGACCGTGCGCTTCTCTCAGTAGAGCAGGCACGTGACCATGCGCTTCTCTCAGTAGAGCAGGCACATGACCAGGCGCTTCTCTCAGTAGAGCAGGCACGTGACCGTGCGCTTCTCTCGGTAGAGCAGGCACGTGACCGTGCGCCTCTCTCGGTAGAGCAGGCACGTGACCGTGCGCTTCTCTCGGTAGAGCAGGCACATGACCGTGCGCTTCTCTCGGTAGAGCAGGCACATGACCGTGCGCTTCTCTCAGTAGAGCAGGCACATGACCAGGCGCTTCTCTCAGTAGAGCAGGCACATGACCGTGCGCTTCTCTCAGTAGAGCAGGCACATGACCAGGCGCTTCTCTCAGTAGAGCAGGCACATGACCAGGCGCTTCTCTCAGTAGAGCAGGCACGTGACCGTGCGCTTCTCTCGGTAGAGCAGGCACGTGACCGTGCGCCTCTCTCGGTAGAGCAGGCACGTGACCGTGCGCTTCTCTCGGTAGAGCAGGCACGTGACCGTGCGCCTCTCTTGGCAGGACGGCACGTACGGCGGCCGGCTGAAGAAGCGACGCCGTTCCTCGTGGCGCCGAGAGCGGAATACGCGGCGTCAGTCGCCGCTGCCGGCCAACTCCAGCGACCAGGAGGAGGTGCTGGACAACTCGACACTGAGTTAGCCGCCTGCCCGCCGCCAGCGCCGGCCACTCCGGACCAGTGCCAACACCGCGCGCGCTTATGTGTGCCGTCGCAGCGCGCCGCCGCAGAGTCAGCGTGGGTGACGGAGCACGGCTTCTTCTGTGCGTTCTCTGTCGAAGACCAAATGGTTTGATGAACGACGTTTAAGGATTTGTTCTCGGGTGCTGACGAGATGTCTGCTTTTGGCGGGTCGTCGCTGAAGCGAAGCCATGTGAAAGCCTTGTCCGGTTCCGGCAGCTGCACTGCGCATGCGCGTTGTTTGTGACCGTGGCTATGATGTCAGTGAGTACACGCTGCCGATGACCAGCACCGTAGTCGATACAGGAGACCACCGTTTCGTGCCTGACCGGGGCAGATAACCGTCGCAGACTATGTACTCCAAGTGCCGATGCGATGCGTGCTTCAGTGTCCGTGGTCGTCTTCTGCCGCCCAAAAAGCAGTTTGGGTTTCTATTTGCTGCGACACCACTGTCGGGTGTGTCCCCTTTAGTATGAGCTCCTACGCCGTGCTTGCACCCGTATTCTGCGTGCCTGCAGCATATTTTTATATTGGCCTTTAACTGTGTATGGTGCATCTCCGAGCGATTTCATATCATTTGCGGAAACGAAAAGGTTGTTTTTATTCACACGATGTTTGCGTTCCGCGCACGGAGATTGTTACAAGATCGAGTTTCCTCAGACCATGTTCCCACCGAGAGCACTCAAATGTTACGCCCGTCATGCGCTGTAGTCCCATGTGAGGATGCGGGACAGTTGTCGAAAAGGGACACTCCGGATGTCAATTCACCCAAGCTGGCACCGGACTTTGGAAATTCTTTGGTTTCCCTGGTAAGAGTGCTCTAGAGAACTTTGTCGGATATGTTGTGAGCGCTAAGCAAAAATATCAGCATGGGTTGTGATTTTGTACCTCCGAGTGGCCCCAAGAGGCAGTGGAGAAGCCGTATGTGGGGTATCGTAGAGCTTCTTCCCAGTTATGTGGCTGGCACTGCTCCTTTGCAGCATGCCGTTGTCGTACGAAGAGGGACTACTCCACCTAGGGTAAATGCTTTATAAGGTCGTGCATTGCGCTTGTACAACAGACTGCCAGCAAGCGTTGCAAATGCGCAAGTTACCTTTCACCCGCGTTTTCGTGGCTGTATGAGTTATGCGATGCATTGGATCTGTGCAGGATTCAAAATGAAGATGTTGTATTTTGGTGACTCTATTGTCCGATGTAATCTTGATGTGCTTTATTTGTTAATACAATGTACAATAATAACTTACTGTCAATATACGCAAGAAGTTGCATCTCGTATTGACTGCAGATAGCCCTCAGGCTCCCTCGCAGTCTAGACGTCTCAGAAAAAAACTCCCGTTAAGATCGCTACCCGTTTCTGTTTATATGTGCTTAAAACATAGGAAACCTTCATGGTCTAAATATTTCAGGCATTTTTCCCTCACTTATTTAAACATTTGCACAGGAAACTGGTGTCAGCAGTTTAGCATCTATGCAGTTCTGAAATCAATTTCCGCTTTGCTGTGCCTCTGACGAGGCCAGGGCCACCTTTGAGTTCCACCGCTGCCACAGTGGCTGCCCAGTGGATTGTCTCCCAATAGAGCTGCAGCGTTTGTTACCATGAGCGGAGCCTGGCAGGTACGCGGGCGCGACTCATGGTCACACAGCCTCAAACCGTACTGATAAGTGCCTCGCTGTAAGACAACTCCAATACGGCGAGGCATGCCAAGTCGTGAAACCTGGTGCACGAGCGGGACAGGTGCCCCCCCCCCCCCCCCCACCCCGCAGTTTCACCTTGCTGATCCCACCACTTCGCTTAGGAGAGGCTGCGATTTAATCCCGTCATCTGTGGATGCTGGCGATTAGGAGCGAGGTCGTACATCAACCTTGTCTCAAGAGAATCTTTCTGCAAACGATGCAGCTTCAGCGGCCGTCTCTGACCCGGCCAGTCAATCCCGTGCCTGGCCTGACACGCCGGCGTAGGTAGGGCCAGGATCCTTGCAACCACTGATCGCAAAGCTGAACAGTTTTCAGCAACAACTGGTACAAATTTTTAACATCGTGTGCTATAATACCGCATTTGGCTCCATTATAATGTTGCCAACAACTTTGCTTATCTGGGTGAACTTCTTGGATACGCAGCACAAAGGTATCGGAATTTCGACTTGGTCCGACCTGTGTGAATATTGCCCTTAAATAGACTGAATGCATGCATGAATGAACCTCCGGGTGGTAACTATTGGGCAATCATTTGCTTACTTTTGATATGACTACGTTCAGCCTTCTTATAACTTAATTCATGCCCAACACTGGTTAGGCATTGCTTCTAACGCTTTTTGTGTTGTTAAACACGCTGCAGTTTAAACGGGCCACGATTGGGCCACAAAACTACACGGATGCGTAGCCTAGTTCACTGTGACCAATGCCCACCAAAATTGTCATTCTCGTAGCACTTAAGTAGCAGCCAGATCACACGAAAATCATAGCAAGTTTTGCGATTTCAGCGACTGAGATGGCCGGGCATTGGTAAGTTAATGGTTCTCCATTCTAGATAAGTAGGAAAATTCATGACTTGGTTGTTATATAGCATGTTAATCATGGGGAATACCATAGATGACCAAGACTCTTGATCTGCTGAACTCATGAGAGTGGCAGGTCAACATATTTGTAACCCCACAAGTTTGGGCTCTCAAAGATGACTGGCTCCATGTACTGCTTTGGTGTCACTTTAAATGTGGTTAATACTTACGTTTGTTATCACCTTACTTGTTTCACTTCGTAAAGACCGTTTACCAGCGAAACAGACACAGAGCGAACCAAATTCTTGCCCTCAAGCGACGACAGATCTTGCTTACCATGTGCAAAGCTTTGCTGCTTTTACCGAACGCTAGATGTCTCTGGCGAATGAACACAGGTGGCTGATCGCTACGATGCTGGATGCTTGATTTTATTTTATGATATGCCGCGCGATTTTGGGAAGCTGGATTGCACATAGATTCAACACTCAGGTATTATCAAGATATTAGTGGTAAATAGAGCAATGTCGATTTGGTACCGACTAGAAGACATGCTGACGAGCGGCCTTCCAAACGGACGTACAGTCGGATGTTATGACAAAGGAGCGTTCGGTCCAGCTGGCGGGAGACTTATACATATACATACATATACATATACATACATACATATACATATACATACTGATCGTAAAATCAAGTAACCCCTTGATACTGCCTGTAACTGCGACTTCCAGATGTGATGACATGAAATCAACAGCGGGATAGAAAATGAGGCTAGCTGGACTTTGGTTCCCGGATGGTAATGGTGGCACCGGCGCTTTGTGCGTTTTATAGACGGAGACAGTACATTCTTGCAAATGGCAGGCTGGCTTTGGTGAATCATGTGTGTATGATTGCTGGCATGTCTATTTATTTGCAATGTGATAGTCGCTGCGGAATGTGAGCTGTTTCGGACATAATTCTTCATCACTAGGAACCTGGTGGATTTGAAACTTTTAGCTCCATGCATGGACATATACCGAAACTGTAAATTTCACTTACAGCGCAACGGCGCTTTAAACTTGACTTCGACGGTCCTGTAAACTTTGGAACCTAACTGCCTGTGGCGCCATAGGTGGCAATGTAGTTTGGCAGGTCCTGACAGGACTGCCTTGACATTTATTGTTGACGTATTTCAATTTTCTTTGCTGACAGGCAAAGAAAACTGGTCAGCTGACCATTTTTTTGACCAGCTGATAGGACTGACCATTCAGATGGTGATTCTTTCCAAGTTATTACCATATGGTCTTACGGTCCATGTGGTCTCATTGGTATTGTTTCTTAGGTGTTTGATAGGTAACCAACCAGCCATGACCGTAAGTTCAGTCTTCCATGACCGTAGCAGGCGCGCAGCCAAAACAATTTCGGGAACGCCCGACGTCCTTACGTTCTTCCTATGACACTGGGCTCCAAACTGCTGCTTTATTACTTTTCGCCGCTCTTATGAGATCCAGACGTGTCTTCATAAGAATTTTGGTTATCTAAACTTAAAAATGCATCGATGTCCCCTGGCCGCAGAGGGCTTTTAGTCAAACCCCAGACTCTGCGAGAAACCCTGTTTTTTAGGCCCAACATTTCGCAAACAGGGCCCTCTTTGAAAATGTTTTGATGATGCAGATGTCAGAACATTTATTTTATCCACTGAAAGTTCTCTAAAGGCGTGTCTGTATCTCCGGGAAGGCCCTATTTGGATGTCAAAACTCCCGGAAAAAGACGCTTGAAAAAGGCCTGAAAAAGATAGGATAATCGCCCTTTTTGCGATCTTGCACTTCATCTCAGCTATTATAATGTAATTGCAAAGGAATAGGACCACTTCCTCAGATACCTCATGTGACATGACGGTGACTTGTAAATGTTCGCCATTAACGTGATGGTGCCTGTTTCCATTCACGTGACAGTGCCTGTCTACCATAAACGTGATAGTGCATGTTTCCATTAACGTGATGGTGAAGGTGTGTTGTGAACGCAACGTTGCCTGTTTGTCCTTACCGTGACGGTGATGGTTTACTATTAAGACGGAAAGGTGGCTGTTTGTCATTAACGTGACGGTGACTGCCATTGACGTGACGGTGACGGTTCGCCATTAAGGTAACGGTGACTGTTTGTCATTACAGTGACAGTGACTGTGTGCTATTATTGTGACGGTGACTGTTCCGCATAAACGTGGCGGTAACTTCTGCTATCATAGTGGCGATATCTGCCATTGACATAACGATGACTGTTTTGTCATTACTGGCATTTTAACACGCGCTCGGGTAGGGGGTCAAATTGCTCCCCGAAGGTTTTTTTCGGAATGGTTTCCGAAAGGCGCGGCGCAGCCGCGCCAAATTCTGCGTAGCTGTAGACAATTGAATAGCGGATCGTCTGGCATTAAAAATTTAGATGTGCTTTGGAAGGTCGCTGATCTATGGTAAGTCAAAATCAAGCCATGGTTTCATCGAAGGCAATTTCTAGGGAATTGTTCAATATGATCCAACAACGAAGTGTTAAACAACGCCACACATCGTTAAGATACTTGCTTAGGTAACACAACATTTAAATGAACACATTGCATTGACCTAGGGTCAGGTATAAAGGTCAGACCAAGGTCAAAACCAATCCGTTCTATTACTCTAGGGCTTGCAGTATGGGATAGTTTTTGTGCTCATTTCGAATTTATTGGTAACAGGAACTGCATTATATACATTCCATGGACTTCATAAAGATCAGAATAGGTCACTGACCTAAAATGACCCAAGTCAACATTTTGTTTTTAGGAGCATACTGCCTAGCGTAATCCTTGTTGCTTTTTTAAACGCAAAACTCAAAGCAGTCTTGTATGACTTTTGTCACCATGATCTTGTAAAGATCAAACAAGGTCACGGACCCTAACTGAGCACGTGAACTTTTGCTTAGAACAGTTATCTAGGTTCTAGGGGCCTTTGGTGACAAACCTGGAATTTTACCTTGTTTGACCCTATTTGACCCGAAGGTCATGACCTAAGAACCTCAAAATTCGACCTATGTAAGTTCACGTAAAAGCCAGCACACCCTGTGAATTTGGTGTCTCTAGCTCTCATGGTTCCTGAGATCACAGGGGGAGGTCAAATTAACCCCTCTCCCTCACTCGAGCGAAGGGTATCCAGCTGGCCACCCGGGCGCGTGTTTTAAGGCAGTGTGCACAAGCTCCCTCGGATGTTTATCTGACCCGGCGGACACCAATAAGGCAGAACAACTCTTCTTGCAATAATGTTGTCTAAAATGTCAAGCCAGCTCTGGACAGCACTCGCAATATGACATCAACGACGCCGAGCTTACGCTCTAAATGCACTGAAAGTGGAACGTCTGCATGATGGCGATGGCGCCTGGGCCTACCGATAGATGTCTTAAGTCGTCAGAAAAGAATCACGGCTCCGGTATTCTTACTGGACTTAGCATGTTTGTGGCAATTAAAAGCACTATCTTTTACATGTTTTGGCAACCAAATGGCCCGGCTGCCCCGTCCTAACGCGCTGTAGTACTTTATTTTTTTATCCTCAACTTTAATGGGCGTCCGTGCGTCGTTTGAGATGCAGTTGTTTCTTCAACCAGCATCTTTCCCATTCTTAAAATGTCCAAAAAGGTCCGAACAGCCCGGGATGTTTTGCACATGCACTTCCAAACGTGGCTTTGTAAGCGCTGTTAATGGACGATTCGCATAATAATTATAATGGTGTATTGCG